CTGAGGCCCCCTCACGGCACTCCGTGGGCCCTCTGCCAGCTGGCAGGGCGTGGGGCGCTTGTCACTCGCCGAGTGGCTGCTTCGCTGGTTGCCCGCGGGCGCCATCGGTCCCTGAAAGGGGGCCGGGCTTGGAGGCCAGCACGAGGAATTGGTCCCTCGGCCAGGAGCAGGTGCCGGGTCGTCGGCCGCGGCTCCCCATCCAAGGGCGGCGGAGGAATTTGGACATGGAGAAATGCAAACCCGACGATCTGCGCGGAATGACGGGGACTCCACGACCGGTCAGCGCCCGAGAGAGGCCGTGGGGTCCTTGCGGCCAGTTCTCCGTGTGCCGCGGCCGTCGGAAACGCAAAGCGAATGTTCCCCACCAGCGAGAAGGGGACAGAGAATAAGTCCGAAAATATCTTCCTGCTTCTCTGGACGTCCCTGGGACGCCCACAGCTTATGTGGCCGCCTCGTCTCAAGGGATCTGGGCTTTGGAAAAGGGCCATAAAATGACTAGGAATGGCTGCCGTATGTGGAGAGATGAAGAAGATTAAGCTTGGAAAAGAGGAGACTGGGAGGGGGGGGCGGGATAGGATGCAGGTCTATACAATCATGACAGGTGTGGAGAAAGCGAGTAAGGAAAAGTTATTTGCTTGTAAGAACTAGGGGTCATCTAATGAAACAAATAGGTAGCAGGTTTAAAAGAAACCAAAGGAAGCATTTCATTGCACAACCAACCTGTGGAACTCCTCGCCAGAGGATGTTGCAAAGGCCAAGACTTTACCAAGGTTCAGAAAAGAGCTGGATACATTCAGGGAGGTTCAGTCCATCGATGGCTGGTGTCCCTGGCCTCTGTCAGAAGCTGGGAATGGCCAATAGGGGAGGCATGGTTCCCTGTTCGGGTCACTCCCTCTGGGGCACTTGGCCCTGGGCGAGACGGGCCCTTGCTCTGACGGTTCGTCCGTTCTCCCTGGCAGACAGGCGCAGAAGGGCCTTCAGTCTGCTGAGCTGCTTTGCGGGGGGCGTGTTCCTGGCAACCTGCCTCCTGGACCTGCTCCCCGACTACCTGGCGAGCATCAGCATGGCCCGAGGGGCTGTGAGGAGCGGGCCGGGCCGCGCCGGTGTTCCCGTGGGGCCAGGCGCTGCCCTGCCAGGCCCTGGGGGACTCACCCCTGGGGTAGGGGCGGGGCTCTCAGGGCTGCCTGTGAGGCTGAGGGATGGGGGGAGGCCGGGCGGGG